TGAAATATTTCATCACTTATTATAATAGCAGATAAGATTTAAAACAGGGCTGTACACAGCGGGGAGGGCGGCAGGGCAAGTGCTCCCCACCCCCGCACCGAGAAAATTTAACTAACTTTATAATGTGATTATGATTGTAACAGATAATTATGCAGTCAGGAAATAAAAATTTCATGCAAACAATATTCAAAGTGTCTATACAGCCGGCTATTTAGTAAACTGTCACCTGTCAATTCAATCCATACTCATCAAATTTTCAAAACTTTATTGTAATCATATGAAGCAAAAGTTATGTCACTTGTTGTTTACACTTGCCAATGTTAACTGTTGAGTAACATACACAAATTATTTGGTGAACATGTCGAAGACCACTGAATAATTGAGAATGTTTTGAACGTCATGAGTGAAGTATATAATTAAATTCCAGTTCTGTGCACAGTTAATGATATACCACACTGTTCGGTTTAACACGTACAGTACATTCACACAAAAACAATTGTGTTGTGGGAGATTATCGGTTTGAGTAGAAGATATCACAAGTTTAGTTTTGTACATTGTGTGCCATTGATCAAATCCACCATATAATATATGATTACTCATTGTAGCTGTTAAGTTATTTTCCATACTAATGAATTTAGGTAAGATTGTCTTGCAAGTTGGTTGTTCTGACAAAATTATCCAGCCAATATCCAATACATTTATTCTTCATTCTTGTATTAATCTCTAAAGAAAAATATTTATGTTAGAAAGCAAAATGTCAACGTAATGAGGCTCGGGAAGGTGAAGATTCTTTTAATTGAAAATGTTTGTAAAAATTTTGTTTAATTAACTCTAATGTGTAAAACCAAATAAAATGTATAAGTATTTTAACTGATAACATCTTCAACCTTTGCTCTAACACTACATTTGATGACAGCTTTATAGTTGGACTGTTGTTTTGAACAGAGTTACGGAGTCAATATACAGAAATACAGGACCAGGATTTAATTCAATATCTCCTGAGAACTGTCCAATAGGTTCCTTTGATATTGTTAATTGGCAATATTGCCTGCTATGTTTTCACTGTTTAAAATATTACAGAAGTCACAGAAGGATTGTTTTTAATACTGTATAAATCTTTTTGTGAACTATGTTGACAAATGGCTTAAAATATCCTCGAAAACGTCCAATATTTTATACAGTGTAATATATTAATAAAAAATTCCAGAGTGCATTCCATGTAAACTCTACGCCGAAGATACGGTAATATTAACTATAGATAGTATAGTAAATATTTGCCGAACTGGCGAACTCATGTATTATAAAATATGTGGGACATATATTTGCACAAATTTGGTATTTAAATATATAATATGTGGTATTTGACTACTTACCAGATGAGGATAAGATTCCATGTTGATAAATAACTTTGGAATAATATTGGCTTAAATTATATAAGCTCGTCGCTGAATGGCTATGTGCTAACATACGGTACGGTCACGTTTGCGAATAGCATATATATCTGCTTCGCAGATACAAAAACCGTCCTACAATAAATCTATATAAGAACCAACAGGGCTGCTGTGCATTAGTTGTCCTAATTATGACAGCATGAAAGAAAATGTCTTCATGAAAAAGTGAGTTTTAAGCATTTTCTTAAATGTTGCACATTGCAGGCGTTACGAATTTCCGCTGGGAGGTTGTTCCACAGCGTAGTTGCAGCCACTTGGAAGGATCGGTCGCCCAAAGTGATTAATGTTTTTGTTCCCAGTTTCTCAAGCAACAGTTCAGTTGATGATCGTAGATTGTATCTGGATGCATCCTTGATTTTGATGAGTTCAGAAATATATTCAGGAGCGAGACCATTAATTGCCTTATAAGTGATAAGTGATAAGAAATATTTTAAAGTTAATTCTGTATCCAACAGGCAGCCAATGTAGTTTATCAGAGGAGGAATGAGGGTCTTCCCGAAATGCAACGCGCGAATCAGTGCGGCTCATTATTATTCAAGCTATTTATTCTCAACGCGCCGTTCGATTAAAAACTGTTGAAATATATTGCGATTTTTGCTGTGAAGATCTCGTTTTTTCAAAGGTATGTTTTGATAACCTTTTTGTTTAGTAATTTAATAAAAGAAGTGTTGAATAATTTTGTATATATATCGCATTTTACTTATGTTAAATTCCCATTGTATTTATGCATGTTTTGGGTGTTGGAAAAGTGGCATTGAAATATTCTGGAGTAAATTGTACTTTTTTACAAGGAAACTAAAATAAAATTACATCAGTGAATTCAGGAATGTTTGCTCTTTATATTGATACTCAGTGGCGGAAATCTGGGCGGGGCGGGGGGCGGCCGCACTGACGAATTTTCGGAAATTTTGACCTATAAGAGGGCTAAAAACAACCTTTTCGAGTGCAAATAGGGCGGGGGGGCGGAAATTTGAAAGTTTTGTCGAAAATTTAGAAGGCTTCGTCCCCCACCGGAAAAAGTGAATTTCCGCCACTGTTGATACTTTAAAACATGAATTTACTTCGTAAAACCGAAGAGTTATCGCGGTTTGAAAATGAGCTATTTTTGCTATTATCGATAATTAGCTGAAAAATAGCTCATTTTCAAACCGCGTTAACTCTTCGGTTTTATGGAGTAAATTCATGTTTTAAAGTATCAATATAAAGAGTAAACATTCCTGAATTCACTGATGTAATTTTATTTTAGTTTCCTTATAAAAAACTACAATTTACTCCAGAATATTTCAATGCCACTTTTCCAACACCCAAAACATGCATAAATACAATGGGAATTTAACATAAGTAAAATGCGATATATATACAAAATTATTCAAAACTTCTTGTATTAAATTACTAAACAAAAAGGTTATCAAAATATACCTTTGAGAAAACGAGATCTTCACAGCAAAATTCGCAATATATTTCAACAGTTTTTAATCGAACGGCACGTTCACTTGAGAATAAATAGCTTGAATAATAATGAGCCGCACTGATTCGCGCGTTGCATTTCGGGAAGACCCTCATTCCTCCTCTGGTAGTTTATACAGCGCAGGGGTGATGTGATCAAACCGATTAATATTGCAAATCAGTCTTGCTGCGGAGTTCTGTACTCGTTGGAGTTTGTAAATCTGATTGGCGGGCAGACCATACAAGAGACTGTTACAATAGTCGAGTCGACTTGTAACAAAAGCGTTGATAAGAATTTGTGTAGTATCAAAGCTGAGAAATATCCTAATACGTCTGATATTAAATATATGGAAAAATGCTGCTTTACAGCATTTATTGATGTGTATACGTACTGTAAGTCCATTTTCAGTTGCGTATCGAACCACGCCGAGCCGAGATTCTTTACTACGCTAGATGTTTTGATAATTTCGTCTCCGATGCACAGTGAATCAACACTTACTTTTGCCAACTGTTGTCTTGTTCCGATGATGATGAACTCCGTTTTATCGTCATTTAGCTTCAGTTTGTTTTTTCTGCATGATGTCTGTGATGCAATCTTACATTGCCTTAATGGCAGCGGCTGTTCAAACATAGAGGCAGGTTTGAATGAAATGTATAATTGCGAGTCGTCCGCAAATGCCTGGACATCTGGTAGGTAGCTTTCAAGAATAGTAAACAGTTTGCTTGCATAAATGACAAACAAGACAGGACCAAGACAAGACCCTTGCGGAACACAATACTTCATTTCAAATTATCTGGATTCACCACCGTTGATAGAAATACATTGAGATCTTTTCTCAAGGTATGATTTAAACCTAGTTAGTACACGACCTGTGATACCAAAGCTAGAGTCGATTCAGCTGCAGGATGGTATGGTCAACAGTATCGAATGCTGCACTTAAATCAAGCAGCACCAAAAGAGTTACGTGTTGTTTATTCATCTTCATCAAGATGACATTTTTCACACGTAGAAGAGCAGTTTCAGTACTATGATATTGACGGTAGGAAGATTGAGCTTTTGGGTAAGGGACCGGTCATTAATTACAGGGGGGCTGGTTAGATGCTAAAATTTTGTTGCCCCCCCTTGAGAACAACACAATTATACTTATTCCCCAATTCGTAATTTTAAAAGTTCTTAGAGAATTGGAAATACATTTAATCAATACTACACCTATCATGGTTGCCAACTTTGGAAAAAACATCCGTGAGATTTTGCTTTGGGGACCCACGAGCGCCATCATAGTTGGCGCTGAGCTGAAAAGTTTTGAAAATATGGAGTCTCTAGATCGTTGGAAATGACATTTTCAGAGTCTTCTAACCTTATACACACAACTTTTGGTAGCTTTTATTTAGATATACAAAACCATATTGTTGAATACCCACGAGTACGAGGTTGCATGAAGTAATGTTTTGATTATCCATTTTTGGCTTAAAGTTTTATGTAATTTGATGCAAATGAAGTCACTCTTAATAGTTAATTTAAAATGTGCAACAAAGCCAACATATTTAAGAACCAGTTGGGTTATTTTCGAAATTTGTGAGAAATTACCAAACTGTGAGCTCACCGCGAGGTTTTAGTAAAATATGTGATGCTGATGATGGATCTGTGAGATTTGGCAACTTTGCCCTGTATACATGTCTTACATACTTTGTCATATATACTTTGCCCTGGTCCCTAAAGTTTGTGAGCGGTAAGGTGATCATGGGTTTGATTAAAGACAGCTCGTTCCGTGGGTTTGGAAACAAATGAAAGGTTGCTGATGGGACGAAGATTATCGAATATCACCTCAGCTTTTGACTTCTTTAGGCTTGGATGGACTTTAGCCAGCTTCCAGTTCTCAGGGAAACATCCGGTTTGCAGGGACAAGTTTAGTCATTCTTGTAATTGATCTGTGGTTCACTTGTAGGGTTGTCGTGCACTGTCAAGTTCTTGTCTAATGCACTCGATTTTCTTGGCGAAGAAGACACCTATATTATTCGCAAGGACTGTATTATCGCTGTATTCTGGAAAATGCAAATCAGTTAATTGATTAAAAAGAAATTTGGCAGACTTGGACAGTTTACGACGTTCGCTGCTATTCTCTTGAATGAAGGTGATGTAGTACTAATTACGTGTGCGTTTCATTACAAAAGTAGCTTGGTTTTTCTTAGATTTATAAACGAGAAAGTCACTATACAGTTTAGTTCGTCTCCATTTCCTTTCAGCTCGTCTTCGTGCTCTTTTCGCTAACTCGACTTCCTTGTTAAACCATCGAACAGTCGGTCTTTTTACAACTGTTTTGCGATTCACAGGCGCATGTCGATCCAATGATGATGACAATGTATGGTTATAACAGTCAACAAGATCAAATCCAACAACCTCGGGACCAAAAGACATACAAAAAACAAGGAGCTCAAAAACACACGTCCAATACATATTTAGACATGCATTTATAGAAACCCAGTTAATCCTTTAACAAATATTTTAGTTTATTTCATCTTTGCATATCATTATGACTGGTATGAATAGTATTCTATAGACCGTTGCACTCATTCCCCAGAGACCAACTCAACATAAAAGCCACGGCGGCTATGGTGTTCCAGACAAAAGAGTGTAATTAAAATTCTTTTGATTTGGAACATCAACATGGCGACTGTGACGTCATGTGCAAACGCTCTATTGGATACCACTCATATTCATGCCCAGATGTGATTGAGGTAACGGGAAATATCCATCCATTCATCGATCCATCTATCTATCTAATCAACACATTAAATGACTAGAATTTAAAGTGGCTGGGGCATAGGAGCTTGTAAAAGTTAGGGGGTGAGGGCGACTCCCACGAGGCGCCACCATGGTTGGCGCCGAGCTGAAAAATTTTGAGTCTCCAGATCGTCGGAAATGGCATTTTCAGGGTCTTCTTTAGCACTTTCGAGTTTCGTTAAGCAGCTTTCAAATGCTGTCATTATGATTTGTAAACTATAAATATGCTTACTTTATGGTTTGCGACTGCGTTCGATGACAACTATTTGGAGCAAGTAAATACCGCTGCCAAACAAGCAGCATAGACCAAACACATCCAATGACAAAAGAGAAGCAAAAATGTTGTTATTAATATGATATATATATGATATATGTTATTAATATGATATATACGGTTTCAAATACTTCCAGTTTCGAGAATTTCGCAGTAAATTATTATCCCCGAGCCGACGGCGCGAAGCGCCGTGCGAAGGTACTAATTCCCCCCGGCTATTTACACCCTGGGAAACGAAAGCATTAGCGGAGTCTAAAGTTCATCAAATATCGCGGGCGTGGGTGACCAACCGTGGGTGGTCATCCTCACTGATCTCAAATATATGGCGGACTGTCATGAATAGCGGACACTGACTGGTCCAATTTAAAATTTGCATTATAACGACTGCATGACGACAGCGAAATAGCAAACATTTCTTGATTTGATCAAAGATTTGATCACAGAGGAAGTATTTACAGAGAGTTCAC